GTTCGGTTCCCGCTGGGGGCACGTGCCTCGGTTGCAGTTTGTCCCCGGCCCTGGTTGGTCGTGCGGGTGGCAGCCACTCGGTGTGTCCCTTTCACGTCGATGTTTCCCTCTCTCTCTCTTCCTCTCTCTCCCTCCTACTCTGTCTGTACAAAAAATGGAAAAATGTCCTCGGATGAGGATTAAAAAAAAAAAAAAAAAAAAAAAGAATTCTAATTACATTAGAATTGCCATCATTAACTTAGACCACTGTTTCCCAATGTGGGGTCCAGGAACCCCTAGGGGTTCTAACACCTTTTGTGAGGTCAGCAAAGTCTATTTTCCTAATAATACTAAGAGTTTTCCCTGGCCAGTGTGGCCCAGTTAGGTGGAACATTGTTCTGTGCACCAAAATATTGCAGGTTTAATTCCCAGTCAAGGCTTATGTGGGAGGCAACCGATTGACGTTTCTCTCTCACATCAATGTTTCTCTCTCTCTCTCTCTCTCTCTCTCCCTTCCTCTCTCTAAAAATCAATAAAAACATGTTTAAGTAAATAAATAAAAAATTTTAATATGTTTTGATTTTTTTTTTTTTAGAGAGAGGAAGGGAGAGGGAGAGACAGCGACAGAAACATCAACGTGAGAGAGAAACATCAATCAGTTGCCTCCTGTATGCACAGTGACTAAACCAGCAACATGGGCATGTGCCCTGACTGGGAATCAAACCCATGACCTTTCGAAAGGTTCTCAAGGATGATGCTCAACCAACTGAGCCACACTAGCCAGGACAATAAATAAATAAAATGTTTAAAAAGATTATGGCTACATGTCTAGTTGGTGTGGCTCAGTGGTTGAGCATCAACCCATGCACCAAGAGGTCACCAGTTTGATTCCCAGTCTGGACACATGCCCAGGTTGTGGGCCTGATCCACAGTGGGGGGCATGCAGGAGGCAGTCGATTGATGTTCTCTCTCACTGATGTTTCTATCTCTCTCTCTCTCCCTCTCCTTTCCCCTTTCTCTAAAATCAATAAAGGAAAAAAATTTTTTAAAAAAGATTATGACTACAGAATCTGAACTCAGTCTTTTGTAGACAGAGCCCCATGGACAACTCTGCCAAGATAACACAACCGTCAAGAGCATATACTCTGGGACCAACTTTGCCCTGACTGTGACCTTGGGCAAAATATTCACCACTTGGGGCCTCAGTTTTCTCCATCTGCAATGGGGCTTATGAGAGCACCTACCTGGTAGGACTTTTATGAAAATAAACATCTCCAACTTGTTGAACTGTCTCTGGCATGTTGTAGACATGAATGCTAACTTCTATTGTAAAACTAAAGAGATGGCTACATTAACTCTGTGGAAGGTTGTGAGGGTAATAGCACAGATAAGCATGGGCATCAGAGTGGGTGCTGTGCTCCAGCAGTTTTGAGGGCATGGCTGCTGGCAGCCAGCAAGGGTGGGTGATCTCACAAGATGATTCAGAGCCTTGAGGTCTGGATGTTGGCTGTCACTAGACCAAGAAGTGGGTGCATGACAATCAACAAGGGAGAAAAAAGTGTTTCAATTTAGTAGAATGGTAGGGAGTTTCGGAAAAATGGTAATAGACAGTGTGTGAAGATAGAACATGGCCAGGCCTTAGTGTTTTGTAAGCTGGGAGATGGCCAATGGAGCTGTTCCCGTATGTCATTAATGTACTTGCTGGTGAGAAGCAGAGACCTTTAGTGATGGGTTTGCTGTGGATGATTTTGCACCCTGGCCCAGGCTGCAGGAACCTGGACATCAGTCACTGAGCACTTTCCCAGAGCAGACAGCCTGAAAACCATTCACCCCTTCCTGCTTAACCTGGTCCCTGATCTGGAGACTGTTTTATGAGTGTACATACCTTTTACAACACTATAATATAATACTAGGGACAGCACAGATGCTCAGTATTATAGGAACTAATATATTTTGTCACTAAACCTACGTTTATTAGTTAGTTAATCCTCACCCAATGATACTTTTCCATTGATTTTTTTAGATAGAATGGGAGAGAGGGGGAGAGAGAGAGAGACATCGATCTGAGAGAGACACATTGATTGGTTACCTCCCTCATGACCCTGACTGGAGCCAGGAATTGAACCTGCAACCTAGGTACGTGCCCTTGACCTGGAATCGAACCTGTGACCCTTCGATCCTCAGGCCTGTGCTCTAACCGCTGAGCCAAACTGGCCAGGGCTAAACCCAGCTTTAATTTGCAACTTTAAAATATCCAGAAAATAGAAGGATAGATTTCGTATGAGTTCAATATAGAAATGCTACCAGGCTGCTCCTGCATTTTATCGATGAATACTGTAAATCATCTTTCAGTGACCCTCAGGGCAGCACCCATGCTGTCCAGGGAAGCTAGTTTCGCCAGGCCCCAGTGGAACTGCTGCCTCACCCTCTTTCCCCAGAGCTCCCAGACGTGTGCTTCAGTTCTTCCCTTCTGCAGTAGAGAAGATTGTAAACATGTTCTACAGGATTTGTTTTGTTTACTCTGTTTATGAAACGATAATCTTAGAAAGAATTGCCTTAGAGCTCAAGTAACAAATAAACTGTCAAGTGAAATAAAACATAAAACAGCAGGAATGGAGATGGCAAAATCCAAATTGCATGCTTTTGATTTGAGGCATATACAAAGCCAAAGTATGCTCCTGTCTTCAAATCATCTCCAGTTGAACTCAATTAGCTCTCGAGCTTCCTCCAACCAGGCCTGGGCATGAATTCTAGAAACATAGTGTCCTCTGGGGAAAACTGCTGAGTGCACCACAGGAGATCCTGGTGCCTAGGCACATTCTGCTGGTGTGTATGTTTTTCCTGTGTATGTGTGTGTGTGTGTGGGGGGGGGGTGCTTAAGTGAGCCATGGTTCAAATTCTATATAGAAGTGGCCACCTCTTTCTCTGTCAAATCAACTCTGTAAATTACAGTGAAAAGGAGGCAGTGCCTGAAACTGTTCCTCTGAGACCTGAGCCTGGTGACCGCTGCTCCTGGCCAGCCTGTCAGAGAGAGAGGCTTATCTGGGTGCTTGGGCTGGGCAGTCATGGCCCCCTGGCACTGTGCCCGACCACCCTTGCCTCCATGGGGCTGCAAGTCCAGCAAAGCAGCCAGACTCCAGGGTAAACATCAAGCCACCCAGGCTTTTCTGTGCCTCCTGAAGACCAGCTCCTCTCACCTTGCCTCTCCTCGGTCCAGACAGCAGCTTTCGCTCTGGCCCTGTTGCAGCTTTCTCCTGCTCCCCACCTCCCCACCTCTGGCCTCTCTAGACTCTGTGCCATGAAGTAGCCAAAATGATGCTTTTATTTATTTATTTATTTATTTTTTTAATCCTCACCCGAGGACATTTTTCCATTTTTTGTTTAGATAGAGTTGGAGGGAAAGAGAGAGAGAGAGAGAAACATCGACGTGAAAGAGACACATCGAGTGGCTGCCACCCGCACGACCCAGCCAGGGCCGGGGACAAACTGCAGCCGAGGTACGTGCCCTTAGCGGGAACCAAACCCGAGTCTCTCTGGACCATAGGCCAATCGCTGAGCCAAACCGGCCAGAGCCAAAATGATGCTTTTAAAACAGGTCAATCAGGGGACGGGAGCAAGGAGGGGGATGTCAATAGTGGGGGGGTGGGGGTTGGAGGAGGGACATCTGTAATACTTTCAACAGTAAATATATATAAAAATAAATAAAACAGACCGAGCAGTCCTTGCTCAAAATCCTCCACACCCTCCACCTCAAGCCCAAAGACAGTATCCCAACAGCAGCTGAGCCCAGTACCAGTACCATTAGGTGCTCCAGCTGAGACCTGACCCCAGCCATACCCACTCCCTCCAATCTCCCTCCACCACACCTGGCCCCATCCCAGCACACTCCCAGTTGTCCTGGGGCAACATTTTCACTTCTCTTCTGCTCTGAAGTCCCCTTTCAAAGTAGCAAATTGTATGTTATGTATATTTTACCGCAATTTTCAAAAACTCCCCTCCCTTTGAAGCCTGCCCTGACCCCACCCCAACTCAGGCTTTGTCTCTGTGGTTATTTACAATCTTTTCACATACCAATGTGTTCTGCTGACTCGTTTTACTTTTGTCACCCCCTCATCCCTGTCTCTAGAAGGGAAACTTCTTGAGGCTAAGCATCATTTTGCTCACTTGCTATGTCTCCAGAACCTAGGACATGGCTTCACATTAAATATGTGTTGAAGACCATTCCATTTATTCCCCAAAATCTCCTTTTCTCTCTAGTTCTTCATTCTCTGCAACTGCTTTGGGGGCCTGTCACCACTCTCCCCAAAAATTTGTCCCCTGAAACTCCACCCACCTGCTCCTTTAACTCCCTCTCCTCCTCTTTCCATCATCTTTACGTTGGGACCGTAACAGCTCTGGTGTGTCCTTCCTCCATCCTTTTGCATCTTTCATCCTTTCTTTTGACCTATTTTTGTCCTCTCTCTCCTTGTTAATCCTCACCCAAGGATATTTTACCATTGATTTTCAGATAGAGTGGAAGGGAGGGAGAAGAAGAGAGATATAGAAGCATCCATGTGAGAGAGACACATCGATTGGTTGCCTCCTACATGACCCCAACTGGGGCTGGGAATCGAACCTGCAACCTAGGTACATGCCCTTGACCGGGAATTGAACCTGCGACCCTTCAGTCCTCAGACTGACGCTCTAACAAGAGCCACACCAGCCAGACCTGTCCTTTCTCTTTTTGTTCTGCATTACAAAACATCCAGGAATGCACTAACAATCTCTGAGGATGGAGTTGGAAGTTCTGAGTGGACAAAGGCAAGGTTTTCTTTAGCAGCCTGGAAGAAAAGGCAGGAGTGTCTGTGAACACTCATTTGTCACTGAATCTTTTTTCCCTGCTACACTGTGGCTATCTAAATTTACCTGGTTGATGGGAACTTCGACAGAGGCAGGTCCACCACTGATTTTCTGGAAAACCATAAAGGCCATAGACCTCTAGGATCCAGGACCAGCCAGCTGGTGAATACTCTGTGCCTTTTTGTTTTTGCACCGTTCCCAGAGGTACTGCAATACCGGGTCGATGGGTGGAGTGGATGGAGCAAGCTCCTAGTCCATCTCCCTGTTCCAAAAACACATTTACTATAATGTCCTCGGGTAGAAGATGTATCAGATATTAAACTGATAAGAACAGATACTACACTTGATCTTAGCCTAAAGGCCGAGAAGCAATGGTGTATTTTGTGCCTTGCTAGGACTGTCCTCCGCGGAGATAGCACACTGTTCAACTTGTCGAAATGGAGCAGCTCTGCTGATAATTGCCAGCTGTGGATTATAAAGAGGAGATATAGCCAATCTGATCACTGGCTACATCCCAAAGACAAGCAGATAGAAAATCCTGTTGGCTACATGACACATTCAACTGAAAAAACTGTTGGGAGACCATACACAGCCAAGCTGAACTCTTTCTTGCTATAAATATCATTACCCTAACAAGTAACCCGAGACCAGAGAGATATCTGGCTAATAATTTTTACGTATAGGCTATAAACTGGACAACCAGACATGGTCCCTTTTTCCTGGTAGCTGAACCTAGGTAAGGCTTCTGAACCCATACAGGGGAATTGAGAAAGAACCCTAGTCCTCTGGCCAGCGATGACTCCCCATTGGCTAATGTACCTGGACAGGCAAACCCCAACTTGAACAGATAAAAACCCAATGTAAATCTGCATCATCAGCCCTGACCAGGTAGTTCAATTGGTTAGAGCATCGTCCCAATACACCAAGGTTTCGGGTTCAATCTATGGACAGGGCACATACAAGAAGCAACCAATGAATGCATAAATAAGTGGAACAACAAATCAATGTTTCTCTTTCTCTCTCTCCCCAAACTTCCTCCCTCTCTCTAAAATCAATTAAAAAGAAAAAAGAAAAAGAAGAACAAATATTTATTAAAAAGAACAAATTAAAGAATATATTATAGCCCTGGTCAGTTTGGCTCAGCAGTTAGTGTTGGCCTATGGACTGAAGGGTCGTGGTTCAATTACTGGTCAAGAGCATGTACCTAGGTTGCAGGTTCCATCCCTGGCCCTGGTTGTGGTGGTGCTGGAAGCAACCAGCCGATGTGTCTCTCTCACATCGATGTTTCTCTCCCTCCTCCCTTCCTTCCACTCTGTCTAAAAATCAATGTAACAGCCTGGATGGTGTGGCTCAGTGGTTGAGTGTCAACTCATGCACCAAGAGGTTGCCAGTTCGATTCCCAGTCAGGACACATGCCTGGGTTGTGGGGCAAATCCCCAGTGGGGAGCAGCCAGTTGATGTTCTCTCTCTCCCTCTCCATTCCTCAATCTCTAGAAGTTAATAAAAAAAAAAAAATTAAAAAAGAAAAAGAAAAATCAATGAAACAATATGCTCGGGTGAGGATTAACGGAAGGAAGGAAGGAAGGAAGGAAGGAAGGAAGGAAGGAAGGAAGGAAGGAAGGATTAAAGAATATATTATAGCCCTGGCCAGTTTGGCTCAGTGGTTAGAGCGTCGGCCTGCGGTCTGGAGAGACCCGGGTTCGGTTCCCGCTAAGGGCACGTACTCCGGTTGCAGTTTGTCCCCGGCCCTGGTTGGTCGTGCGGGTGGCAGCCACTCGATGTGTCCCTTTACGTTGATGTTTCTCTCTCTCTCTCCCTCCCACTCTATCTGTACAAAAAATGGAAAAATATCCTTGGGTGAGGATTAAAAAAAAAAAAAAAAGAATATATTATAGACCTGGCTGTTTTTGCTCGGTGGTTAGAGCATTGGCTCATGGACCAAAGGGTCATGGGTTTGATTCCTGGTCAAGGGCACGTACCTGGGTTGCTGTTTCAACCCTGGCCCTGGTTGGGGCACATGTGGGAGGCAGCTAATCGATGTGTCTCTCCCACACCAATGTTTCGATGTTTCTCTCTCTCTCTCCCTCCCTCCCTTCCACACTCCCTGAAAATCAGTGGAAGAAATATCTTTGGGTGAGGATTAACAACAACAAAAAAATACACATATCTATCTATCTATCTATCTATCTATCTATCATCTATCTATCAAACTCTAAAAAACACCCTACATCATAAGGAAGGGGTCGACTTATAACAAGAAAATGAAGAGGGATCCTATTTTCCAGTGACTGGATCTAGGCACTTAAATGGGCTATCCGAAGTCTCACCTGTAGCCTTGGCTACTTCACTCTCCATATGGGCCTCATTCTCTCCAATCACAGCTGGCTTTCTCCTCAGGGTGGGAAAGGTGCCAGCAGCACTCTCAATTTATCCTTCTACTCCATGACCCCAAAGGCAAGGTCCCTTCTGCAATGTGCCATTAATGTGACACTATGAAGGTATGAGATCACATGATTAGGGAGACAGGAACCGAGGGAGTGAGTTTTGCTGAGCAGGCCTGAACAACAGATATCTTCTATAATCATCACTATGGTCAGTAGTCTCCAAGCTGATCCTCAGTGATCCCTGCCCCCTTGAGTCATTCCTGCCACATGATATACCATGTCATGTGAGCAGCCCCATGGAGAGTCCTTTGGGTCAGGACTGAGACCTCCTGCCAACAGCCAGGCAAAGGTATCACCCTGGAAGCCCATTCTCTAGTGTTAGGCAAGTTTCAAATGACTACAGCTCTGTCAGCTCAACTGAAGCCTTGTGAGAGACCCCGAGCAGCCAGAACTAGCCAGTCAACCACACCTGTATTCCTGACTGTCAGAAACTGTATGAAATAAACAATAGTTGTTTTCTGTTGTTGTTACTTCTCACCCAAAGATATATTTTCCTTTATGTAGAAAGAGTGTGTGTGTGTGTGTGGGGGGGGTATCGATTGGTTGCCTACCTCATGTGCCCAGATTAGGGCTGGGGATAGAACCCAGAACCCAAGTACGTGCCCTCGACAGAGAGACCCTTCTTCCATCTGCAGGCAGATACTCTAACTGCTGTGCCAAACCAGCCAGGGCAACATTAGCTGTTTTACCTTGCTAAATTTTACAGTAATTTGGTAATTTGTTACAAAGTAATGGATACCTGATACAATCAACATAATAAATGGTTAAATTAATGAATTTGGTAGACAGCTGGCTACAGCTGTGTGAGTTAAAATTATGAGGAGAGCCCAGCCCGTATGACTCAGTGGACTGAGCATTGCCCCATGGACTGAGAGGTCCTGGTTCAATTCCTGGTCAAAGCACATGCCTGGGTTGTGGGTTCGATTGCCAGTAAGGGGCATGCAGGAAGCAGCTGATCGATGTATCTCTCTCACATCAATGTTTCTATCTCTCTCTAAAAATTCAATAAAAACATTAAAAATAAAATAAAATTATGAGGAGAAGGTATAGTCCGCCCTTTCTAGCTCTCTCCTACATCTGTCCAAAGTCCCACACCCAACAGTCTTAAGAAATATTGAGGAACATACAGCTATTTAGTCAAATGCAAGTTCCTGTACAGGTTTTTTTGTTAGTAGAAATAGACTTTGCATCACTTCAAGAAGAACAAAATCTGTGATTATGAAATCTTGTTGCACATGTGATAAAATCCAGTAACAAGTGATATAAGAAATAGTTTCCTAAGACACAACTTTAGTTTAGAAACAAAGTTTACCAAAATTCAAAGAGATAAATGAGTTTATTCAAACGTTCCACAAGGGAGTATATTTTATAGAAGACATCTTAATATTAGCCAAATATCTAGTTGCAGACCAGGTCATTCAAAGCTTCGTGACTTAGTCTCAGTAGGATGAGCTCACCTTCATGATTATAGTGTAGCAATTATATTGTGCAACAGTCCAAGGGCTTCAAAGGCCAGGGTAAGTGTGGAAGCAACTTTTATTTTTTTTTTTTTTTTTTTTAATTTTTTTTTTTATCCTCACCCGAGGATATTTTTCCGTTTTTGTACAGATAGAGGGGGAGGGAGAGAGAAGAAGGGAGAGAGAAACATCGACGTGAAGGGACACATCGAGTGGCTGCCACCCGCACGACCAACCAGGGCCGGGGACAAACTGCAACCGAAGTACGTGCCCTTAGCGGGAACCGAACCCGGGTCTCTCCGGACCGCAGGCCGACGCTCTAACCGCTGAGCCAAACTGGCCAGGGCTGGAAGCAACTTTTAAAAAAAGTTTAGAAGTTTAGTTGCTACCAACCTGTCTAATTTGGAAAGAAGCAAGTAATTATTTGTTCTGATACTAATAAGGAAGCCTAGATTTTAAAAACAAAAAGATCAACTTCTGTCTCCAGACTGCTAAGGTTTTATTCCTATTTTACAAGTAAGACAACCAACAGATATTCCAAAAGCAGCTTGCCTGAAGCCCTTCAGCTAATAGTGAGCAAGGACTCCTCCATGCTGGGGAACAGAGGGAGGAATTTTTAGGATGGGAGTGGAACAGATGCACTCTCTGCTCCTCTCCCCTTATGGCAGCCAATGCTGAAAAGGTGGTGCTCCCACACCTCCTGAGGCTCACTTTGCTCATAGCTCTCGAACTGGATATAATAAATGGCACCCAGTATCAGAGTGGCCGTGCAGAGACCTAGGACATGCCCTGAGTCAAACTGGGAGTTCACCATGAGATCGCTTCTCAGACAGTTAAGGGAAGCCACCCTGAAACGTCTTGATGAAGAGTTCAGAGAGCTGAGGAAGTACAAATTAGTAAACAGAAGTTGCGAAGTACCAAAGAAAAAAGATAGCGGTAACGAAAATGGCTGAGAGGAAAGAGAAGCTGATGTCCTGGTGGGAGATGAAGTAGGGCCCGAGAGCCAAGTTAGATCCAGTGAGCCAGCTTTCTCACAGAGCCTTTTCCAGGGCATGGGGCACCTGAATCTTTAAACTAAATCCCTAATGCAAGGCCACAGGAGCCTCTGCCCTGGGCCATTGCAGAAATGGAACTGAAGCAGGGTGAGATTCAGAGTCACAATTCACCTCTCACCTAAGGCCTGGGACACAGCCAGCTTTCAAAGCACATTTTTAAAATAAATGTATTTGAATAAATGAATCAAGTCTGTTTTCCCAGAACCTAATTTCACACAACATCGTAGGAATAACTCTTGGCTAAGAATGCCTTCCTGGTTCACAAGTTGCTTTCACAGACTTTAATTGCATTTTATCTTTACAACAACCCTGTGGGAACCCCAAGGCTGATATTAGCCTCACTTGGCAGATAATTATCATCCCCATTTTACTGATGAGAAAATTGGGGCTTGGAGAAGTTAATAACATGCTCAAAGTCATAGGCTGAGAAGACAGAAGCCAGCGTTCTCTCCCCGGAGGCTGGCCCTTTCCATCACCCTGCACTGCTTACAAATGAATCACCAGGCAAAGATACAATAACAATTTTATTTCAAACAGCATTGATGGGATTGCATCTTATACCCTTCCCAAACACATTCAAGTTTGTTAGAGGCTTTGAGTCACGAATCCTCTGAACTGGGTGAAGGAACAGGTGTGAGGTGTAGGGCTTGGTCACTTCCAGTCAGGGAGGCTTTGCACAAGCTTTAATAGGGCCCAAGAAATTACTCTTGTAAGTTTGGTTAGTAACTAGACTGGTCTGGGGAGAGAGTAGGGGCAGGACACAGGGAGTTGGATGGCAGAAAGTAGGTGGGACAATTTAACCAGGAAAAGAAAAAATGGTGGAGGAAAACTGGGGGGGAATGGACTGTGAAGGAAAATTGTAAGTGGACAGGTGAAACAAAAGGAAAGGTAGTTCAGGTGTGTAAATCAGCCGCAGTCCTGGGCATAGGGACTGCTCTCTCCACCAACAAACCACAAATAAGAACCTCTGCAAAAGCAGTGGCTGTCAGAGAACTGAAGACCAATAATCAGGGCACTTAATTTCTTTTTTTTTTTTCTTATCCTCACCCGAGGACATTTTTCCATTTTTTGTTCAGATAGAGCAGGAGGGAGAGAGAGGAAGAGAGAGAGAGAGAGAGAAACATCGATGTGAAGGGACACATCGAGTGGCTGCCACCCACACGACCAACCAGGGCCGGGGACAAACTGCAACCAAGGTACGTGCCCTTAGCGAGAACCGAATCCGGGTCTCTCTGGACCGCAGGCCGACGCTCCAACCCCTGAGCCAAACCGGCCAGGGCAGGGCACTTAATTTCTAAAAATGTCCTCAAATGTTCCAAATTTCAGGGGGGAGTGAGGGAAAAGATATACTAGTCATACATGTTACTTTATTCATTTATATTCAATTTTTTTTTTTTATCCTCACCCGAGGACACTTTTTCATTCTTTGTTCAGATAGAGCAGGAGGGAGAGAGAGAGAGAGAAACATCGATGTGAAAGGGACACCAACCAGGGCCGGGGACAAACTGCAACTGAGGTATATGCCCTTATGGGAACTGAACCCGGGTCTCTCCGGACCGCAGGCCGACGCTTTAACCGCTGAGCCAAACCAGCCAGGGCTCAAATTTTTTTTAGAGAGAGAGAAACATTGATGTGATGGGCTACCTCCTGCACAACCCCCACTGGGGTTCGAGCCTGAAACATGGGCATGTGCCCTGACTGACTGGCAATCAAACTCCAACCTCTCGGTCCAGGGATGATGCTCAATCCACTGAGCCACACAGGCTGGGTCATACATGTTACTTTATAATACTTAAGGCATAATGGTGAGTGGACTAAAAACCAGCAAGACCAGCTCTGAAACTCTGTGCCATTACTTCTTAGAGTAACTTTGGACAGGTTTCTTTAAATTTTTTTGAGTTTGTTTCCTTATTTGTCAAATAGATAGTAAAAGTATTTGCTTCTGCCCCGGCCAATTTGGCTCAGCAGTTAGAGTGTCCACTCGACCAATCAGTCCTGGGTTCAATTCCGGTCAAGGGCAGGTCAAGGGCACGTCCCTGGGTTGCGGTTAGTCACCAGCCCTGGTAGGGATCGCCCTGGTAGAGGTCGCGAGGGGAGGCAACCAGTTGATGTGTCCCTCTCATGTCAATGTTTCTCTCTCCCTTTCTCCTCTTCCCTCCCACTCTATCTGAAGAAAAATGGAAAATATCCTCCGGTGAGGAGTAAAAAAAAAAAAAGGTATTTGCTTCTCAGCCGTGGCCAGTTTGGCTGAGTGGTTATAGCGTCAGCCCAGGGACCAAAGAGTCTCAGGTTCAACTCCAGTCAAGGGCACCTAAGTACCTCGGTTCTATTCAGTCCCTGGCCCTGATGGGTCGTGCGGGAGGACCGATGGATGTCTCTCTCTCTCTCCCAACTCTGTCTGAAAATAGATGTAAAAATACCCTTCGGTCAGGTTTTTCTTTTTCAAAAGTATTTGCCTCTCAGAGTTGTATTAAATAAGAGTGATATGGAGCCTGGCACTAGTTAGCACTCAGGAAGATGCTTATTGCTATGATTTGTCACTAGGAATTCAATACTAACCGTACCTCTGTAATACATCCACTTTAGTCTTTGCTTTTCCTATTCAACATGCTTTTCAGCTCTCAGCAATCAGCAGCCTCAGAGCTAACATTCCAGCAGAGAGCTAAGGTGAGATTGGAAAGGGGTGGGTGGGTAAGGTCAGGAAAAAGCCGGCACTGCAGGGTGAACAACCTGAGCCTGGGATTTAACAAAACTTTTGACTGCTCATTCCCCAAGAGCAGTTGGTGGACTCCCGAGTCCGGGCGGTGACCCTGCCCACCAGGGGTGGGAATGACTTTCAGAAACGAGTCAGCGTGCCCTCAGAAAATTAACTAGTTGGGAAGTTGTTGTCTACTCGAAATTAAACCTCTGTAGGACGAGATTCCAGACTTGTGTCCGCGCCAGGGTTACTCCTTGACTCTCCTCTTAACCTGGGCCCGTCAGCGTGAAGGGCCCTCTCCGCGCTCCTCGCGCCAATATGCGGCCGGGGCAGGATCGGACCCCGCTGTCTGCTCACGTTCCTCTCGGCTCTGTCGCTCCACTCGGTCACCCGGAACCTGCTGCAGCAAACCCCTCCCCACCAGTGGCCCAAGCCGAGTCGTGACAGTTCCCTCGAGGTGCCGCCAGGCTGCAGCTATACTTGCGGTACTTCGCTCCGCGGAACCTCAATAAATCGCTAGGAAACCCCAGTCGCACCGGCGCGAAAAGGCCGCACGAACCCGGAAGCCGGGAGCAGGGGACAGGACCTTGGAGGTGCCAGCCGCGCAGGCGCCCAGGAGGCCCCGACCGCGCAGGCGCCCAGAGTAGGCTCCCAGCGCGCCGGCGCCGCTTCTGGGCCAACATGGCGGCCCTGTGGCGGCTGTTGCGTGCCCTCCGCCAGGGCCAGGGTACAGGTCCCGAGTGGTTGAGAGGCCCCTGCTTAGACTGGGGCCCAGCCCTCTATGTCAGGGCCGGGAGGAGGTGGCCGCACTTCGTCCACAGGACTCCGATTGGTGTCACCAGGGCTGGAGGCCGAGCCCTGCAGGTAACCCCGGTCGCCGTAGATACCGCTTCGGCCGGGGCTGGGAGAAGGCAGCGCAACCGTACGGCCCTGCTTGGGTGTTTCCAGCCCGTATTTCTTGTGCTGATATTTTTCTGCCTGTCTTCCTTGGGTTTTAAAATTGAAAACAAGAATTTCACCATTTTCTAGCAGAGAAGTATTTTATACTTGGCTCGCATAGATTAGAGCCCATCGGGATGAATTTTAGCGCCTTGCACACAGTAGCTGGCCACAGCCCTTCGTGACCGCCTGAGGGATTTGTGTGAGCAAAATACCACGTAGCCGTATTTTAGTTTTGTCGTGTGGCAGCTTCAAACGTTATGGACACAAATTCATGGAGCACCCTCCATGTGAAGGCTGTGTCCCCGGCCCTGCTAAGGTTGACATTTCATTCTGAAAGCAAACCATAAGTCCTGATGCGTTTTTGGCTGATTTTTTTTTTTTCCAGCCCTTTTATCAGTTCAACCTTCACATTTTAGGTCGAAATTTATTATTGTTATTATGTTTTTGCATAATTTGAGGACAAATTTTAATTACAATCCTATTCTAGATTATTGGCCACTTTCCTGAACCTGAGGACAACTGTAGATGTATTACACTTTTTTTCCTTCTTCATTCTGTTGAGAAGGAACATAATTTATTATCTAAAGTCTGACCCTTTGCTTATTCTATAAAATAAAGGCTGAAATAGGCAATTCACACATATTTGTGAAATCTAAGCAAATTCACCAATGTTATAATAGTAATAAACTAAGCTGGTTTAAACAGTCTTTGGGGTTGACTTTGAAGAATGACACTTTTTATGTGTGCTATATTTGACAAACTGATGTTATTTATTAGGCCCAATTCACGCTCTGTGGCCCTCCTTTCTATGACTTCTGGTTGTCACTGAGCCAAGAATAGTAGTATTAATTAAATGCGACAATAACCGTATAGACTAGGAATTTTCATGTTGCTAAAGGAAATTGCATATAATGTGCTCCTGATCGAAGAACATTGAGCAAGGTATTACTTTTCTTCATAGCAGCAGCAGAGCAGGAATGAGCTAAGGAAAAAAATTAATAAGTGGCCCTGGCCAGGTAGCTTAGTTGGTTAGAGTGCCCTCTCTATATGCCAAGGTTGCAGGTTTGATCTCTGCTTAGGGCACATACAAGAAGTAACCAATGATTGCATCAGTAAGTGAAACAACAAATAGGTCTTTCTCTCTCCCTTTCCCTCTCTCTCTCTTACTCTTTCTCTCTAATCAACCAATAAAATAAATAATAAAACAAATGAAGAAATTGCCATCACAGGCACAGAAAACGTTAAATTGGCCTTAAGAATATGAAACAGCCCTGGCCGGTTTGGCTCAGCGGTTAGAGCGTCAGCCTGTGGTCCGGAGAGACTCGGGTTCAGTTCCTGCTAAGGGCACGTACCTCAGTTGCAGTTTGTTCCTGGCCCTGGTTGGGGTCATGTGGGAGGCAGCCACTGGATGTGTTCCTTTCACGTTGATGTTTCTCGCTCTCTCTCTTCCTCTCTCCCTCCCACTCTATCTGAACAAAAAATGGAAAAATGTCCTGGGTGAGGATTTAAAAAAAAAAAGAAGAATATGAAACAATTCAAGTGGGAGAATCCTCATCTTCAAAACAGAACTCTGGCCCTGGCCGGTTTGGTTCAGTGGTTAGAGCATCGGCCTGCGGTCCAGAGAGACCCGGGTTTGGTTCCCGCTAAGGGCATGTACCTCAATTGCAATTTGTCCCTGGCCCTGGTTGGGTCGTGCGGGAGGCAGCCACTCGATGTGTCCCTTTCACGTTGATATTTCTCTCTCTCTCTCTTCTCTCTCTTCCCACTCTGTCTGAACAAAAAATGACCTTGGGTGAAGATTAAAAAAAAAAGAAAGAAAACAGAACTCTGGAAATACAGACTGGTAAACTACTATGGCATCTGGAAGTGTTACACAAGAAGTGATTTTCTGGAGATGTCTGGGCAGTGACTATGGCCTTTAGGAGCCCTCTACTCTTTTTGTCTTGCAGGAGAGTTGTGAATCTCGAGGCACAGAATGGAAGCCAGGGTTCCATGCCTTTAGTTCAGTGTTTCTTTGATTTGCTCACTTGCTTTTGGTGTTTAGATTATTTTTTATTTTGGTGTGATATCAAAACTTTGAAATAATGCTCAGACTGTTACATTTTGGGGGCAATATAAACATTAAAAGTAAATAGCCTGGCAGGTGTGGTTCAGTGGTTGAGTGTCGACCCATGCACTGAGGTTGCTGGTTCAATTCACGATCAGGGCACATGCCCAGGTTGTGGACCCGATCCCCAGTGGGAGGCATGCAGGAGGCAGCCAATCGATGTTCTCTCTCATCGATGTTTCTTTCTCTCCCTCTGCCTTCCTCTCTCTCTCTCAAATCAATAAAGAAAAATATATTAAAAAAAAAACTAAATAAATATTTGAACTTTCAGAAAGGATTTTACATCAGGGAATTAGTCCACATTGCTTTGGTGTGCTGTAATGTTGGTGAACCTGATCTGGGGTATCATTCTTTTTTTCAGAGTTTGCAATTACGACTGCTAACGCCTACCTTTGAAGGGATCCATGGATTGTTATTGAAACAGCATCTAATCAAGAATCCAGTCAGACTCTGGAAGCTTTTAGGTGTGTATCTATTGAAAGACAGAAGTGACCAGCAAAGCCTGTGCCATTTGTGAATAAATTAGCATAATGTTGCTGGTTTGACATTGACAGAAAAATGAAATTAATAATAGGACCTTTGGTGTCTATTTATCATGAGCCCTTAGATGCTCTGAAATTAAGTTTACAAAACTGAAGATTGTCTAAGATCAGAACAGGCTATTTTTGCTTATTTTGAGTCTTTTAATTTTTTTCTTCTGGTGTATAGCAAAAATTGGGCTGCTTGAAAAGTTTTATTATGTTCTCTAGCCAGCTCCAAGAACTTTAAAAAAAAAATTTTTTTTTATCCTCACCCTAGGACATTTTTTGATATTTTGTTCAGATAGCATGGGAGGGAGAGAGAGAGGGAGACATCAATGTGAAAGGGACACATTGAGTGGTCACCACCTACACGACCCAACCAGGGCCGGGGACAAGCTGCAACCGAGATATGTGCCCTTAGCGGGAACCAAACCCAGGTCTCTCCAGACTGCAAGCCGACGCTCTTACTGCTGAGCCAAACTGGCAAGGGCCAGCTCCAAGAATTTTTGTAAGGATCTACAGAGTGGCTCCTAGGTTTCATATCCAGAAGGTAACTAAAAATAGCCTGGAAATAATTTGTTCTCACAATAGAGTTGCACTGTTTAGTGAGACTCTCTGATATCCTGCTGTCTCTCTTGACATCTTAGGTCAAAGGATCTTAAGGACTGACATCTGGCCCGGCCGGTGTGGCTCAGTGGTTGAGCGTCAACCCATGCACCAAGAGGTCACTGGTTCAATTCCCGGTCAGGACACATGCCCCGATTGAGGGCCAGATCCCCAATGGGGGGCATGCAAGAGGCGGCCAGTAGATGTTCTCTCTCATCGATGTTTTTCTCTCTCCCTCTCCTTTCCTCTCTCTCTAAAAAAAATCTTCCAAATCCTAGTGTACATTAAATAGCCTGGCATCCAAACATGGTCAGAGAAAGCTGTGACTTGGAGGCAGTTTGCACATTTGCTGTCTGTTTCTTTTTTTTTTTTTTTGTAGTACGTGCCCTTAGCAGGAACTGAACCTGGGACTCTCTGGTCCGCAGACCGATGCTCAACCGCTGAGCCAAACTGGCCAGGGCTGTTATTTATTTATTTATTTATTCATTCATTCATTCATTTATATTTATTCCTCACCCAAAGGACATTTTTGTATTTATGTTTAGATAGAGTAGGAGAGAGAGAGGGAGGAAGAGAGAGAGAAACATGGATGTGGGAGAGACATATTGAGTGGCTGCTGCCTACACGACCCCAACCCGGGCCAGGGACAAACTGCAACCGAGGTATGTTCCCTTAGTGGGAACCAAACCGGGGACTCTCCAGTCTGCGGCTGACGCTCTAACTGCTGAGCCAAACTGGCCAGGGCTGCTGTCTGTGTTTTTTTATTTAAATCTACACATGCACCTAGTGGCGCACACTTCACAGCCTGATGTGTCAGGTGGCCATCAAAGCAGTTTCACTTATGATTCTGTCAATGTCTGTGAAGAAAAGTACAGGTCATTATTTTGAGAATCTTTTCCCCTCATTTGGAGAGGAGGGTAATCCTCACCCAAGATATTTTTTCTATTGATTTTTAGGGAGAGTGGAAAAGAGGAGGGGGTAAGAGAAACATTGATGTGCGAGAGACTCATTGATTGGTTGCCTCCTGCATTCTGGAGATTGAACCTGCAACCCAGGTATGTGCCCTTGACAAGGAATTGAACCCGAGACCCTTTGGTTGACAGGTTGATGCTCTAACCATCTTGCTACACTGGCTAGAGCTTCCCCCAGTTTTTAACACTGATTTGTTCAGGTATTAGATAAGACAGAGCCTTTTTTGTGAGGAGTGTTAATGTGGTCCTGTTTTGGTGATGGTGACAACTGGTTCGCTGCCTTACTGCATGTGCCAAAGCCACTTGTGTCGTTCATTTGTTTAAGTTCATTTCAAGTGACTGTATATATTAAAGGGATTGTTCTCCAACATACTGATGCCACTCTCAAATTTATGTTTATAACTAATTTTCATTTCCTCACATTGACTCATTTAAATTACAAAGATACTTCATAAGTTGAAGTAGTGTATTATTTTATAACTTATAAATACTATACTAAGAATGATAGAAGGAAATGCTTTATCTCGAACTTCTAAATCTTATGGCTATAGGTTTTAGATAGTTTCTATTTTGATTTGATTATCTGAGAACATACTCTTCTCCTGAGTGTTCCACTATAGTTGCAGATCTTGATTGTTAAACACTTTCCCTTTCCTTGTAGGTGGCACTTACTATTTTAACACCTCAAGGAGGAAGCAGAAGACTAAGGACCATGATAAATCCAAGGGGAGGACCCCTGAAGATGATGAAGGTAGCTCTGCTGGATGTTCTGGAATGAAGGCTAGCTTGGTTGTCTTCACATGCACATACTAGTCTAAGCAGCAGGAAACCTATCGTAAAAAGTAGGGCAAGCCCAGGCAACTGTGCTCGCCTTGCCCTGAATACACCTGCCTCCAATCTCTAATTCTGTTGCTGGGTCCTTCCTGTCTGTCCCTTTAGAGATGCTTACATCAGCACCTGTGTCTCTCGTCCTCTTCAGTATGCCTAAAGGCAGGTGGCATTTCTGTTCTCTGTGTGAAAAAAGTGAGTCTTGGATCGATCTTGAACTCAGAGTTCTAAGGCATGAAGAAGGCACTAGGACTTCTTGGATGAACCCACTTTATACATACCTGGTTAGTGTTGCCATTGCCTCCAGGCTTGAGAAGCAGCCCCCAGAGGAGAGGAGGGTGCAGTGTGTGTCCTTGAAAAAAGTAGGAGATCACTGTCTTATACCACTGTGGTCCTGGCCAGTTTGGCTCAGCGGTTGGAGCATTGGCCTGTGAACCAGAGAGTCCCGGGTTCAGTTCCCGCTAGGGACATGTACCAAAAAATAAATAAATAAAATAAAATAAATAAAAATAAGAGGACCACTGTGATCCTGTGTCAGCTCCCAGCCCCAGTTCACAGTAAACTAACTTAAAATCTTAAGTCTCATCTTAAGTCTCTTCTCTACTCTGAAATTGGGACTGGGTAATCATGGAAAGGGTGAGGGAAATAAACAGGTAATTTTGAACTTAGTTGCCCTCTAAGGTGAAAGGTGGCTGCTAGGAGCTGATATTAATGAGAATGAATGAACTGGGGGAAGTCTGTGCTAAAGGTACAGGGTTTGTGTGTGTGTGTGTGTGTGTGTGTGTGTGTGTGTGTGGTTTTTATTTGAAAAGAATTGAACTTTCGTGGAGAAAATAGAACAGGTGTTTATTGGAGTCCAAATACAAGCTGTCTTTTTATTTTTAGACATTCTTGCAAGGCTGTGTTATTTAACACTAAGCTATATCTTTTGAAAATTGTAGACCTGTTTCACACTCTGTGAACAGATGGTTGTGAGTCACAGAATTGCTTTAAACCCCTTTCACGTGCAGTGTGGTAGGGCATCGTGTGCAGAGCGCTGAGGAACAACGGTTGATTTGTGCACTGCAGCATCCAGCCAGAAACAGGGGACTTACTCATAAGTTCAGTGTCTTAACTGTATCAAAAATAGACATTATGACCAAATAAAGCCTCTGAAGGAAAGACGTTGTTGGCATGAGCCTCATTCAGGTCAGTGTGTTGTAGTTAGTTTGATGACTGTCAATGTTGTCAATTAAAAAACAAGATTGAAAATGAAATATTTGAAATAGATAGTTTCTAAATAATTAGTACTCACCCGAGAACATAAATTTTTCTTTCCAAAATAAGTGATAGCCTTTATTTAGCTGCCTTTTGTGAAATATGAACTTTAAATATTAGATTCATTACTATAATCTATTATAACAAAATATGATATATCAGATTTACCTTCATGTTTTCAAAATGATTACTAGGACAGCCTTCTCAGTAGGTTTCATTTGTGGTGTTTTGTTTTTTCAACTTTTGAATTTATTTGTTCTGCTGTTCTCTGTTTTGTCATTTGTGTTTTAAACTGATTTAAAAATGCTTTTGAATTCCTCTGAACTGATGATTGGAGAGGAAGGTGGTATGTTTTTGGGTGTTACCTCTAGGCAGTGCAGAGAGGAGCAGGTGCACACTGACTTCCAGCTGTGCTCTTGTCCTTGGAGTAGTGACCACATATGTAGCTTGGTGTGGACCTCCCACCCTAGGCTTTGAGCTGGGCCCTGCATCTGACCGGGTCCTCTCTCCTCTTCCCCTGAGTGGATGAGCATATTTGTGCATGAAAGAACCACATGGATTGTGGGGATTTATCTAATGGATATGAGAAAGAATTGTTCTTTGGGAATAGTCTCAAATTAAGTGGTCGCCAAAATATGTCTTAACGACTGAACAGTATATCTTGCACCTTTTTCTTTCTCTTTATTGATTTTAGAGAGAGAGAGGAAGGGAGAGAGGGAGAGATAGATAGAAACATCTATGAGAGAGAACATCGACTGGCCGCCTCCTCCATGCCTTCTACTGGGAATTGAGCCCACAACCGGGGCATGTGCTCTGACCAGGAATCGAACCGGTGACCTCTTGGTGCATGGTGCTCAAACACTGAACCACACCTGCAAGGCTATCTTGCACTGTTTTTTTTTTTGTTTTTTTGTTTTCAGATAGAGCAAGAGGGAGAGAGAGGGGAAGAGAGAAAGAGGGAAACATCAATGTGAGAGAGAGACATCAACTGGTTGCCATCTACACAACCTCAACCGGGGCCAGGGACAAACTGCAACCGAGGTCCTTGCCCTTAGCGGGAACCGAACCTGGGACTTTCTGGTCTGCAGTCCGACGCTCTAACTGCTGAGCCAAACTGTCCAGGGCTATCTTGCACTTTTAAAATATATATATGTATTTATTGATTTTTTAGGAAGAGGAAAAGAGAGAGAAACTGAGAAATATCAGTGTGAGAGAGACAGACATTGATTGGCTACCTCCAGTACTCGCCCCAACTGAGACTGAACCTGCAACCTAGGCATTTGCCCTGACTGGGAATTGAACTGGTTACTCTTGTGTGTATGGGATGACACTCCAACTGAGCCACACGGGCCACATCTATCTTGCACTTTTTATTTATTTATTTTTTTTTTACATTTTTCTTTGGTATGTTTTTTATTGATTTTTTTTTAGAGAGGAAGGGAAAGATAGAAACATTGGTGTGAGAGAGAAACATTGATTGGCTGCCTCCTGCATCCCCCCTACTGGGGATGGAGCCCACAACCCGGGTTTGTGCCCTAACTGGAAATCGAACCAGGACGTCTCAGTCCATGGGTCAACGCTCAATCCTCTAAGCCACACTGTTGGGCAAATTTTAATTTTTTTATTGATTTTAGAGTGGAAGGGAGAGGGAGAGAGAGAGAGAAACATTGATTGGTTGCCTCTACCTACACCCTGACTGGGGACCGAACCTGAAACCTGGGTATATGCCCTGACCAGGAATTGAACTGGCGACCTCTCCATGTACAGGGATGATGCTCAACCAACTGAGCCCCACTGGCCAGGGAATATCCTTCACTTTTTTTTCTGTATTGATCTTAGAGAGAGAGAGACATTAATCAGTTGCCCTCTTAGGCACCCCAACCAGGATTGAACCTGCAACCTGGGTATGTGTCCTGACTGTGAATCGAACCAGCTTCCCTTCCATGCGTGGGACAGTGCCCAACCAGCTGAGCCATACTGGCCAGAGCCTGGGAAGCTTTTTGAGTTTAAAAATGTTTTTATACGCCCTGGCCAGTTTGGTTCAGTGGTTGGAGCGTCGGCCTGCAGACCAGAGAGTCCTGAGTTCAGTTCCCGCTAGGGGCACGTACCAAAAAAAAAAAAAAAAAAAAAGTTTTTATACTATCTGAGCTGGTGGGACCTCTGAATGGAATGTTGGTGACTTGGAATGGCTTGTGATTAGTGTTTGTTTCAAATCACTTTGTTGAAAAATAGGCCAAAATGTAGGATCTTATGGGAAATGAGACACCATTGTCTCCGTGTTGAGCTTTCCTGAAAGAATGTAAGGCATAGAGGGTGGGCTTGGCCTGAGCCTGTGTCTCACACTCCTCTGATCCCTGCTCACAGAGGAGAGGAAGCGCAAGGAGAGGGAGGACCAGATGTATCGTGAGAGGCTGCGCACCTTGTTTGTCATCGCCGTTGTCATGAGCCTGCTGAATGCGCTCAACACCAGTGGGGGCAACATTTCCTGGAATGACTTTGTCAACGAGATGCTGGCCAAGGGCGAGGTGCAGCGGGTCCAGGTGGTGCCCGAGAGTGACGTGGTGGAAGTGTACCTGCACCCTGGAGCTGTGGTATTCGGGCGGCCTGTGAGTGATGGCGGGGGCACAAGCGTGGAAAGACCTGAAGAGCCAAGGGGAAATCTGTTACTCAGTTTAGATCCCAAGAATGTATATAGAATCTGAGCTTAGAACAGTTTAACTTTGGCAAGCATGTGGACCAGGATGTTAGGAAACTGATGGGGGATCAGTATGATGCAGTCCACACTGGTGGGAAGAATGACTGCCCACCCATGCTCCTGCCTCTTGAGGGTTGCACAGAGGTTTCTTCTGTGGAGGCTTCAGACTGGCCCAGGAGCTCTCGATCCCTAAGACCTGGTCAACTCACTGAGAAGAGACTTGGGGACTCAGTGTGGTTTTGAGTTTCCTTCTCAGTGAAGCCTGTGTACCTCATGGAGGCAGTGATTTCACTTTAGGAAACTTTGTCTGCTTACTCTTTCTTAGTCTCTTTTCTATCCAGAGAAGGTTTACTGAGAAAAAAGACACCAATTTAGTTGAAGTTCAGATTCAGCCAATGGTTAAACACACAACTTTATAGTTTGCCTTATTGGTTGAGCGTGCTGTACCATGCACCAAGAGGTCACAGGTTTGATTCCCAGTCAGGGCACATGCCCAGGTTGTCGGCTAAATCCCCGGTGCTGGGCATGCAGGAGGTGGCCAATTGATGTTCTTTCTCATCGATGTTTCTCTCTCTCTCTCAAATCCATAAAGAAAAAATATTGTATATTTTGCCTTAGGAAGTGGTCTATGTCCCCAATCAAGTACTGCAGACTTGTCAGTGTGTCTCTGTGTTCTTCATGCATGGCTGAATGGGGCTGGGTACTGAGTTTTAAATGCCTCCCTCTATTTTTCTTTTGTTTTGTTAATTCCTCACCTGAGGATATTTTTCCATTAATTTTTAGATAGAGCAGAAGGGAGCGGGTGGGGGGTGGGGGGGGGAGAGAGAGAGAGAGAGAGAGAGAGAGAGAGAGAGAGAGGTGAGAGAGACACATTGATTGGTTGCCTCCTGCACACATCCTGATTGGGGCTAGAAATCGAACCTGTATACCCAGGTACGTGCCCTTTACTGGGAATTGAACCTGCAACCCTTGGTGCATGGGCAGACACTCTAACCCATGGCCATGCTGGCCAGGGCCAGTCTGTCCTGTTCATCATTCTCACTGTCCCTCTGCTTTCTGCCCCCAGAGGCTGGCTTTGATGTACCGAATGCAGGTGGCAAACATTGACAAATTTGAAGAGAAGCTTCGAGCGGCTGAAGATGAGCTGAATATTGAAGGCAAGGACAGGATCCCAGTTTCCTATAAGCGTACAGGATTCTTTGGAAAGTATGTTGGTCAATTTTGTTGGCCCTGAAGCTAAACTAGGCTTGGCTTTGTAATGAGAGAAACAAACCACTAACAAAAATTTCAAAATGGCCTTCCTACAGTTAACTAGACCCCCTTGAGGAAGATAAATAACTTATGGGTGAATGGCATAATGCTGGGAAACTTGGAAATGTGTGAGCCTGTTGGAATTTGTCTTACTTGCTTTTGTTGTGTGGTTGCACTTACGAATTTAGCACATTGTGGGGTTGCTGTCTTTTACAAAGAGGAAAATGGAATAGAGAGGGAAGAAGCACAGATATCCAACAGAAATTCTTGGTTCCATGTTGCAGAGAGCAATAGAGACTGTAGGCCATGGGTCTGCAGACTCTTTAGTGGGAGCAGATCAGTCAGCACAATCAGGGGCCTCTAACTGCATGCTGGACCAATAGTGGCTGATAGCCATGTGCAGAGAGGTTTACTATTGACATGTGGATATGCTTTGTAATTCTGATAAGACTCACTTGGTAACTAGCCAGCACATCTGTGAAATTCTACACACAACCCACTGGTGCCTGAAGGCTCAGGGCTCTGAGGTTGTGCTTCTGGTTTATTGTAGCAGTAATAGTGGTACAGGGCAGATGGGCAGCTTCCCCTCTTCATGTGGAGGGCTGACATCCCAGGGTGTACTCTTTATTCTAAGCTTATCCTGGCTTACAAACAAAAATTATCAGCCTCTTTTTGAAAACAAAATTTATCGAATGTGAAAACCTGCTCTTGTCGGTTCGTTAATTATCACATGGCTCTAGATAAGGCATTGAGTGGCATCAGCTATTCTGACTTCACACCAAGGTTATATATACTGTATCTCCAGCATTTCCACACACCATCTGACAGTTTGGGAAAATGTTATGAAAGCGTGTAATTGGTGAGAACTGGACAGGGAAACCATTTTCACATGTTGCTCTTGGAGGGAGGGGTAGCTCTTCTCATCTTTGAAATGTCTGTGGTCCCTGGTCCCTGACTGTGTACAGCAAGACTTTCAGCTGCCTAGTGGCCACTTCTGAGCCTATAATTACCTCTCTTTCTCGAACTAGTGCCCTCTATGCCTTGGGGATGACAGCGGTGGGCTTGGCCATCCTATGGTATGTTTTTCGTTTGGCTGGAATGACGGGAAGAGAAGGAGGATTCAGTGCATTTGTAAGTTGTACAAATGACATCTCACTGAACTTGCAGTCTTAGGATTTGTGTGTGTGTTCTTGCTAAGTGCTTTTCCTGTAAACAACAGAATAAGTTTACAGTGAAAGTTAACCTGGAGCTGTAATTTGGCAGTTCATCTTTCCTTCTGCTTGGCTGCCTGGAGGGTGTACAGTAACCAGTTTTAACTGAGGCTCCCTTTCCTTGACTTGTGGGGTGGCTGAGCCATGGGAATGTATAGGGCAGCTTATTCTGCAGTTTTCAACATTAACTGGGTTGGTTCTTCTGGGTGTTGGGAGGAGGGTCTGTGAGATCCTCCAAAAGTGGGGAGGTGGGAACACGGGCGGGACAGGCAGAGCCAGCACTGAGGTGCTCCTCTAGCTCTGGGAGTGCACAGCGCCCTGCCCTCTGTTCTTTCTGCCCAGAATCAGCTCAAAATGGCTCGATTTACGATTGTGGATGGCAAGATGGGGAAGGGAGTCAGCTTCAAAGATGTGGCAGGAATGCACGAAGCCAAACTGGAGGTCAAAGAGTTTGTGGATTATCTGAAGGTAAGCCCATGTGCTGAGCAGGAGATGGGTGTGAACGCTCTCCCAGAGGGGAGAACTTCATTGATCAGACGTGTGTGCTGCATGGAGAGCCCTGTGCTGAGGTGGGGGTACACATGTACTACACATGCTGGTGTTTGTTAGCCTGGCAGCACAGGCTAAATGCACAGTTTTGACCAACAGAAAGTCTGATAGTTGATCACTGATCAAACCCAGAACCTTGGGGACACTGGCTTTTCCCAGAACCTTGTGCATCATGGCTGATTCGAATTGACCTTCAGGAGATTCCTTTCTTGAAAATTATGTTTTGTTTTTTGTTTTTTTTAATCCTCACCCGAGGACATTTTTCCATTCTTTGTTCAGGTAGAGTGGGAGGGAGAGAGAGGAACAGAGAGAGAGAGAGAAACATCGATGTGAAAGGAACACATCGAGTGGCTGCCACCCGCACAACCGACCAGGGCCGGGGACAAACTGCAACCTAGGTACGCGCCCTTAGCGGGAACCGAACCCGGGTCTCTCCGGACCGCAGGCCGACGCTCTAACCGCTGAGCCAAACCGGCCAGGGCTGAAAATTATGTTTGAAAAATCTGTGGTTAGCCTGGCCAGTGTGGTTCAGTGGTTGAGCGTCGACCAATGCATCAAGAGGTTGCTGGTTTGATTTCTGGTCAGGACACATGCCCAGTTTGTGGGCCCGATCCCCAGTGGGGGGCATGCAGGAGGTGGCCAATCAGTGTTCTCTCTCATCATTGTTTCTATCTCTCTCTCCCTCTCCTTCCCCCTTCCTCTCTCAAATCAATAAAGAAAAAAAATTTAAAAAGAAAAACCTATGGTTAGTGTCACATTATCTGCTGCTTTTCTAGAGCCCAGCGCGCTTCCTTCAGCTTGGTGCCAAAGTTCCGAAGGGTGCACTTCTGCTCGGGCCCCCTGGCTGTGGGAAGACCCTGCTGGCCAAGGCTGTGGCGACGGAGGCCCAGGTGCCCTTTTTGGCGATGGCTGGATCGGAGTTTGTGGAGGTCATTGGAGGTAGGCATTGCTCAGGGGGGCTGCAGAAAGACTCACCTGACCATTTGTTTAAGATAGCCCTCCTTTCACACATTCTCTCTGTCAGGTGGCTGAATTAATGGGGAAATGGGGGGAATAGAGAAGGAAAAGTGAAACCTGATATATGGGAAACATTGTGTTTATGTAGAGAACTGGATTATGATGTTCTTTGAAGCTGCTTCCACTTGTGGTCCTGGGAGTCCAGGGGTTGAGCATCTTTTAGTGTGACATCCGCTGGGATAGGGCCTGGTTTTGTTTGCATGAGTGGATGCTTGCTCAGATTTCATCATTCTTACCGAGCAGCTCTGGCCCCTGGCTCAAGAGTAGGGTTCATCTCCTGTTACCTGTCAGCTTCCTGGCCCTCTGTGTCCCCTCAGGTCTTGGTGCTGCCCGTGTGCGGAGCCTCTTCAAGGAGGCCCGTGCTCGGGCCCCCTGCATCGTCTACATTGATGAGATTGATGCCGTTGGCAAGAAGCGCTCCACCACCATGTCGGGCTTCTCCAACACGGAGGAGGAGCAGACCCTCAACCAGCTTCTAGTGGAAATGGACGGTGAGCACCCTCCCTGGCTGCTTCTGCGAGGGGAGAAGAGTTTCCAACTCTTTCATAACAGTCATTTTCATGCTGCTTATGTTTGTTGTTCCAGAACCGTACACTTATGTTCATAGGTATTTTATTTTTCTCCAATCATTGGTCTGTACTGTTTCTCCACCTTACCACCTGCCACAGGTGAGGGTGATACCAGTACACAGAGAATCATTGTTTAGCAGATAATGACTAGAAACAAGGTCAGTTTAAGAACTATTCATCATCTTGCTGCACCCAAGAAACACAACTTTTAATTTTAAAAAGTCAAGGGAATAGTAAAGAAAAAAGAAAAACAACTAGGAATACAAGTGGCAGGTCAGGCCACGATGATGCTTTTCAGTCTTGAGTGAGCCAAGTTGATTGCGCTGCCGTGTTTGTCTTTACACGCTGCCCTGGTCAAAGGGGGACCCAGCTGGAGGGTGGAACAGGACGTTCGTGGAAACTGATGCGTTGTTGCGCTGGGGGAGGCTCTGTGTTTGCCACCCTTGAAAATGACCTCTGGACTGGCTTCCTCACAATTTCTGTTTCTTTTTTTAATGGAAATGACCCAGTAAAGGTGACAAGGAATTGTTTTCTTTTGAGCTACTTGGTAAGATCTTTTTGTGTTTGTGTCTGTAGTTTGTTTTTATTGTGGTGAAATAAACATAACATAAAATTTACCATTTTTAACCATTTTTCAATGTACAGTTCAGTGGCATTAAGTATATTCTTTTCTTTTTTTTTTTTTTTTATCCTCACCCGAGGACATTTTTCCATTTTTGTTCAGATAGAGTGGGAGGGAAAGAGGGGAAGAAGGGAAGAGAGAGAAAGAGAGAGAGAGAGAGACATCTACGTGAAAGGGACACATCGAGTGGCTGCCTCCTGCACAAGCCAGAGAGAGAGAGACATCGACGTGAAAGGGACACATCGAATGGCTGCCTCCTGCACAACCCCAAATGGGGCCGGGGACAAACTGCAACCAAGGCACACGCTCCTAGCGGGAACCAAACCCGGGTCTCTCTGGACTGCAGACCAATTCTCTAACTGCTGAGCCAAACCGTCCACGGCAGTATATTCTTATTTGTGTGGGCAACAATCACCACATCCATCTCCAGAACTTCCTCTTCCCAAACTGAAACTCTGTCCCCGTTAAACACTGACTCTTCATTCCCCTCCCCCAGTCCCTGGTGTCCACACTTCTGCTTTCTGTCTGTGAATTTGACTATTCTAGGGACTTCGTATAAATGGAATCATACAGTATTTATCCTGTTGTGACTGAGTGTAATATCCGCAAGGTTCATCCATGTTTTCACGTGTAAGAATTTCCTTCCTTTTTAAGACTGAGTGATGCTCCATTGTATAGAATATAGATAAGACTATATTTTGTTTATCTATCTATCTATCATCTATCTATCTATCTGTTGATGGGCACTTTGGGCTATTGTGAATAATGCTGCTGTGAACATGGGCATACAGATATCTCTTCATGTCCCAGTTGTTGAAGATTCATTTTTATCTTCTCTTTAATCAGAATTCTAGCCCTGGCTGGTTTGGCTCAGCAGTTAGAGCATCGGCCCGTGGACCAGAGAGTCCTGGGTTCAATTCCGGCCAAGGGCATGTACCTCAGTTGCAGTTTGTCCCCAGCCCCGGTTGGGGTTGTGCAGGTGGCAACCAGTCGATGTGTCTCTGTCACATGGTTGTTTCTCTCTCCCTGTCTCTTCCTCCCACTCTGTCTGAAGATAAATGTAAAAATATCCTCGGGTGAGGATTAAAAATAAATAAAATAAACTTACAAAAAATCAGAATTCTAGTTGTATTTTAGCTATTGTAAATGAGGGAGACACTTTTTTCTCCATGTATTTTGATCCTGAGAGAGTTAACTACTTATTCGTGTACTTATGTTTCCTTTTACAGTGTTCTTACTATTTGGGATATATATCTGTTGTCCAGCACACAGACAGTTGAGTTTGAGTATATGTATGTGACTAAGGGCAAAACTTTTTTTAACCTTTCATTTTAAAATAATCCCAGACTTATAAAAGCATTGTAGAAGCAGTCCAAAGAGTTCCTTTATACCTGCCCCCAAGTTTTCCAGGGCTGACATGGCTGCAACCAGGCTGTAGATGTTCACAAACATCATCTCTCAGCCCACGATGTGCCTTTCCTAGTTCAGGATCCAGCATGCCAACATGTCCCATTTAGTTTTCCTGTCTCTTTGGTCTCTTCCAGCATGGGACTGGTTCTCTGTCTTTTTTGTGTGATCATGACACTTTATAGACCTGTCCCATTAAAGGACATCCCCACTGTGATGCTGTGCTGTGCCCCCAGAGTTAGGTCAAGTCAAGCATTTTTGGCAGGAACCACACAGCAGTCTTGGTGTCCCTTATTGTACATGGCATCACTGTGCCTCATCCCTGGTGCTGAGATTCTGACAGATGGCCTCTGGCAGGCATGGCAAGGCCTTTCCTCAAACATTGTTGAGCAGGTCAGATGGACTGATGCATATGGAAGCATTTTATAAGCTCTGCAAGCTCTCCAGTTTTAAAATCAAGACATAGCCCTGGTTGGTTTGGCTCAGCAGTTAGAACATTGGCCCTCAGACCGAAGGTTGAGGGTTCAATCCTGGTCAAGGGTACATACCTGGGTTGCAGGTTTTCTCCCCAACCCCGGTCAGGGTTGTGCAGGAGGCAACCAATCGATGTGTCTCACATCGATGTTTTTCTCTCTCTCTCTGCTCCTCCCTCCTTCTAACAAAGTTGAGGAAAAGGCTGTGTTGTTACACTGTAAGAATGGTTCTCCCTGGGGCTGCTTTGCAGACCTCCTGCATTCCTCTCTGTCTTTCATCCAGTCATCCATCAATATTTGGTCAGGGACTATTTTATTTATTTATTTTTAAAATTGATTTTAGAGAGGAAAGGAGAGGGAGAGTAAGATAGAAACATCAATGAGAGACATTGATTGGCTGCCTCCAGAACGCCCCCTGCTGGGGATTGAGCCTGCAACCTGTGTATGTGCCCTGACTGGGAATCAAACTGGGGATCTCTTGGTGTGTAGGTCGACGCTCAACCACTGAGCCACACCGGCTAGGCACTCAGGGACTATTTTTTTGTGTGTGGTGGTGGTGGTGGTCTCAGGGACTATTTATGGTACAATCAAGATTTGAAGAGCTACCTTCCACATGAAGAGCAAGCTTTCCAGAGAATGAATTTTCCAAAGACCTCAGTATCTCTAGAGATGTAAGTAGAGTGAGTTGTTGAGAGACACACCCTCAAAGATGTGGGCCCTTCAAGAGTACTTTCCAGGCCAGCTTCCAGGGATCCCCTACCCTGGGGTCATGTGTGCCAGACCTGCTCTGACTATTCTTCCACTCAGTGTTTGGCTGTGGCTATTGAGACCTGCTTTTCAAGGGAGGCAGTATTTTATAGTTTAAAAAGTTACCCTCTGTCCTGGCTGGGTACTCAGTTGGTTAGAGTGTGATCCTGATACGCCAGGGTTGCTGGTCAGGGCACATTGAAGTATCAACCAATTGTCCTAGCCAGTGTGGTGCAGTGGTTAGAGCATTGGTCCTTGGACCTAAGGGTTGCGGGTTCAATTCCTGGTTGAGGGCATATACCTGGGTTGCAGTTTTGATCCCCGGCCCCAGTCAGGGTTGTGCAGGAGGCAACCAATCATTGTGTCTCTTTCACATCGATGTTTCTCTCCCCACCCCTTCCTTCCACTCTCTCTACAAAAAAAGACATAAAAAAATCAACCAATGAATGCATATATAAGTGGAACAACAAATTGATCTTTCTCTTTCCCCACGTCCCTTTCCCCCCTCTCCTATCTTCTTTCTCGAATTTTTTTTTTATGTTACTCTCTGGGTCTCCAACATTTAAAAAACCATATGAAATTAGTTCTCTTGTGAATAGCTTTCCATGATCTCTTAGTAGTGTTTCATCTTCAGTGTGGCTTTGGTTATTACTACTAGGGGTGGTTTTCGAGTCCTGAAGCAATCTTTTTTTTTCTTTATCCTCACCTGAGGACATTGTTTTTTGCATTTATCTTCAGACAGAGTGGGAGGGAGAGAGGGGGGGAAGAGAGAGAGAAACATCAACGTGAGAGAGACACATCGAGTGGTTGCCACCCGCACAACCCCAACTAGGGCCGGGGTCAAACTGCAACCGAGGTACGTGCCCTTAGCGGAAACCGAACCCAGGACTCTGGTCCATGGGCTGATGCTCTAACCGCTGAGTCAAACCGGCCAGAGCCTGAAGGAATCTTAAAGACCCCTCATCCTGGCTACTGATGGGTCAGGTGGGCAGATGGTGGGGATTGGTCAGGCCTGAGGGTGCCGGAGCCTAGTCTGCTGTCAGCTGTGACAGACCATGCTGAGACCCAGCACTGTGCCTGTGATGACTCTGCTATCAGACGTGCCAGGTTTATCAATAGCTTCTGATTGTCTCTTTAAAAGAATAAGTAGCCCTGGCCAGTTTGGCTCAGTGGTTGAACGTCGGCCTGCGGACCAGAGAGTCCCGGATTCGGTTCCTGCTAGGGGCACATACCACAAAAAAAAATAAATAAAAGAATGAGTAATCTTTGTGATACTGAGTGGACAGAGGGGAGCAGTCTTTTGAAAGTTGTCAGATGATTAGTTGGCTATCCAAACCTGATTTGTCATTGAGTCTCACTGCCCTGCTGGACGCAGTGATGTCCATGTTTGTCAGATGGCCGTCCAAGCCTTGAACCCCAGGCATGCTCATGGACTGTGGAAGGATGCTGTGGGGTTCACACCAGTCCTCTCTTCTGAGCCATGGTTTTCTGATGTTACAGTGCGGTTAAAGTTTATGACCTTACCTGTGGTTCTGCACCCTTCTCAGTGCAACAGAGCATCATTCTTGGTGATTACGAAGGGGCTCCTCCTGGCTCTGACTGAGCACTCAGGGCCATGGGCAGCACTGCACGTCTTCTCTTTCTGCTTATATTGCTTTTTGCGCTGAAGACAG